TTAAGGGCAACTTTAAGACGATGATATTGCAAAGGAGGTTCTGAGCATTCCACCTGCAGGGAAGAAACTGGAGTAGTAGGAAAAGCACCAGTGCATATCCGAAGAGCTTTGGCTTGAACACGATCAAGTTTAGCCAAATGACATTTTGCAGCATTCATAAAAACTTGACAGCCATATTCTAATCTAGACAAAATTAGGGCTTTGTACAACAGAAGCAAGGATGATTTATCAGCACCCCACTTTGTGGCAGACACGCTTTTCAGTAAATTGAGAGCTTTAGTACATTTTGATGAAATGTAGTTGATGTGGTTTGACCAAGTGAGTTTTGATCAAAGATTACACCCAAAAATTTAAATTCAGACACAAATTTTATGTCCTGACCACCAATGTGGAGCTTCAGATTTGGAGGAACTTTACGTCTTGTGAAGAACATAGCAACTGATTTAGAAGTTGAAACCTTGAACACCCACTTTGAACACCAAAGATCTATAGAATTAAGAGCTAATTGGATAGATTTATGAACAAACTCAATGTTTCCAAAACGTCTCCAACAAGCACCGTCATCTGCAAATTGTGATGCATCAATGTTTAAAGGAAGTTCAGAAAAGAAATCATTGATCATTATATTAAAGAGCAAAGGGCTTATAACACTGCCCTGTGGAGTGCCATTTACAATAATTCGCATGTCAGACACGTGTTGTCCAATACGAACTTGTATGGTTCGATCAGTTAGGAAGGACTTTATCCACTGTAGCATACGTCCCTTTACCCCCAACCTTTGCAGTTTAAATAAAAGTCCATTTCTCCATAGCATATCATATGCCTTTTCAATGTCTAAAAATACACACAGCATATACTCTTGGTTTCCTAGTGCTTTTTGTGCTTCATTTTGTAGTCGAACTTGATCCATGCAAGAACGAGTTTTCCTAAACCCACACTGTAGAATTCATTTGATTCTAAGTAGAAACTCAAACGATTTGTGACCAACCTTTCCATGATTTTACACAGGTTAGACGTTAAGGCTATTGGTCTGTACGAAACAGGGCGAGATGGATCTTTACCAGGTTTGGGTACAGGGATAACAACAGCGTGTCTCCAGCTTTTGGGTAACTTCCCAGATATCCAGCTTTGATTTATGATATTAAGTATGACTTCTAGAGCTGAATCTGGCATATGTTTAAAGTGTTCGTAACACAATTCATCGGCACCAGGAGATGTATTCTTGCCTTTTGATATTGCCGATTTTAATTCTCCCAGGTGGAAGGATAAATCATATTCAGGAAAAGGTTGTAATAAAGAATCTGCAATTATTGGAATAATCTCATTCTCCAAATTTGTGATTTCGTTTTTAAATTTAGTTGAAAAGTTTTCATAGCTGCTAACAGCCTCAAACTGATCTGCTAAAAGATTTGCTTTCTCTTCACGGGATATAGCGCTTTGATCCAAAACAGGAATAGGGGATCTATTACGGTTCCCACTAATCCTTTTTACCTTGGCCCAAATTGAAGACAAGGAAGTATGCCTGTTTATTGTAGATATGTAAGAACGCCAACTGCTGCGTTTTAATGACCGTACAAGACGTTGGAATTCAGCCCGTTTTTTCCGAAAGTCGTCTAAATCAACTGGTAAGGATGTCCTGCGAAGTCGGTTATAAGCCTTTTGCCGAGCTTTATCGGCTTTGTCACAATCCTTATTCCACCAATACTGAGAATTTCGAGTAGTTGGCTTTCCGGAAGTTTTACCAATAGCTTTTTCTGAGATTTTAGTCAGAGATAAAGTTAGATTACAAGTTGATCTTTCAATGTCATCTGTAAGCAGATCACACGTTATTTCATTTGAACAAAGTTCAACAAATTTATGCCAATTTGCAGATTTAATCTCCATCTAGAAAGTCCATGTACAGGTGTTCGAAGAGGTGTAAACGATGTTTCAGTGAAAACTGGAAAGTGATCACTCCCCAGGCTGTCGTGTTGATAAACAACCCATTGGCATTTGTGTGATAAAATCGGCGAAACAAGGGTAAGATCCAATGCTGAGAAAGTAAAGTTACCAGTATTTATACGGGTCATTTGGCCAGAGTTTAGCAATATTAAACCTGTGTCATCCAAAAGATTTTCTACAACTTGACCAGCATGATTTGTATGCCTGCTCCCCCACAGTGCATTATGACTATTGAAATCACCACATATCAAAACTGGTGTATCTACAGAATTTGTCAGCATTTTATAAGAGAAGGCGAACCATTGCTGTATATATTAACAATGGTTCGGAATTGTTTCTCGTCTGAGACAATTTCCACCGCATTTGCCTCAAAATTAAGTTTCGGCAAGGTATGACTATTATAGGTTAAATCTGATTTGACAAAAATAGCACAACCGCCACGTTTAGGATTTCTGGTCGTAGGGTCATATTCAATGCGATCTTTTCGCATGCTAACATAACCATTAATTTTAAACAGACACTCAGGCCAGAGGAATGTTTCTTGAATGCATATTACATCCGGTTTGAATTCTAGTTTTCCAAGAAACGCCTTAAGATGAGGACCGTGTGCAACTAAACTCTGTGCATTCCACTGCAGAATAGTTAGCAGCAAGAGGGCGCTATCCAGTGGAAACACAGAATGCGATGTAGAGTTGCGTCCCCTAACCACGTCAGTGCCGGCCTTCTGAACACAGATTGGCCAAATACGATTCTAGGGGTTACGGGCAACTCCTTCATTCGAAGAATGTTTCACCGGAGCGAACCCGCCTTGAAAGCAATGTTAAAGTCTGGCTTAGAGATGCTGACTTTGTATTTGCAGTGGTAGATTATTTAACTGTGAGGTTGCCGCTAGGTTTGAAGGAGGATCATTGTACATAAGTCGTCAGGTACTTCCTGTGTTGTTGAGATGAGACTTTAGTCTTTAAGTCGGAATGTGTTAGTTGGTAGGGAGGTAAAACTATGAGACATTGGTTGGGTTTCTTTGTTATATAATGTGTAGACAAGAGAGCAGCTTTAAGCTGGATCATGATCGGACAGGCAAGATATGAATTCGTTTTAGAACTGGAGTGATTTTGTCATACTTTCTGGTCTTGGTGATTTTGCTGGTTGTAGTATTCCATATCTGTAGTAAATGCTGAATCTGGTCGTCGCTGATGTTACTGTGGATGCAGGGGCAATAGTGCAGTCTTGATGTAACGAGAGCTGTGAATTTCTGCCCAGTAACCAGGAATTCAGGCTATTTTAACCTGGAAACAATCTGCCTTTATTCAAAACCTGGTTAGAATAGTATTCAGCAAATCATGTAAGTAAGAGGCGACAGATGGGATCGGGTGGTCAGACTCGCTGACCTGGCTGACACATGCCATCGTATCCCATTTGCGTAGATCGGTGCTCATGATGCTGATCACTGGATTGTCTGGTCCAGATTTGATTATTATTGTTTACAGAACAATAAACCAAACATTCCAAACTCAAGAAACTAACTTGCCCCTTAAGCGTTTACAAGCATCCAATCGGTTGGACGTCTTGAACACATCAACGTGACGTTCGTTATCATAATCTACAGCATACACAGAACTCTTCAGTTCTGTGTGTTCTCAAAAGCTGGAAGCTGTTCTCGTCTGTGAACACGACTCCTTGCCAGCTTCTGTTCTGCCAGTGTCACAGTGTCCGACCTCATTGATGTCTCCGACGTCGGTGTTCCGGCGTCAACGTTACGCCTCGTAGTAGACTCTAAGCATTTTATATTGTACCGACGTAGTCTTCATGACCCTCATCAGCGACTGACAATATTGGACTGATGATTCAAGAGGGGTTGTGACAGACCTTTGCCACTACAAGGCTTTTATCTGGTCTGTCCAGTCCGCCTGTAACCTGACATATGCCCCGTAACTGTCACTCTCCTTCGCCACAGGCTTTCGTTGATCCTTCACGTATCACACCAACGGCTTGAATTAGAATTTAATATCGGTGTGTTACTGTCACTGACTAACGGTTTGGGTGAGAATAAACAACGAGTATATCATTTTATACCTTAACACAGTTAGCATGTCGTATACGTACATATTTCAACATTTTCACTTCAAACTCAGTTTCCACTCACATGGGTACAGTTCACGTCCATAAGTCGGCGAATTGTTTAAGTCGAGTTCTGACGATTGTTCTCAAACATTTCGTAATCATATCGGGGTTTGCTCAGCGATTCCAATTGTTCGTTCCCTCAAAGGTTTCCTTTGCTCGTCAGTTCATATTAATTCAGTGTCTGGTTGGTTCAACTGCTTTATACGCCCATATTACCGAAGTATTTAAGTGTTTAAATGTATTCAACAATATCTTAGACAATTGCACAGTCATATCAAACTTGTGTAAATAATAACCACTTAATAATTATCGCCAATGAATCAGACTGTCGACATATGAGGTAGTGGCGCTCCACTGGTTGTTTGGTTTGTTCACAAATACTTCTGTTCATCCAGCAGAAGAAATGGGTACCCGGTGGGATAAGTCATGTCAGACAGTAAACCTTCTAGCGCCCCACAGGCAGCTTGGGTTATCCGGGGTAATAATGGTGTTTAGCGCATTAAAACATGTGAATTTATTATTATTGGCTTGCAGTTGGGTGAAAACAATTTCCATGGATAACGAATTCCTATCACTGATACCAACACACGGTTAGAATGTTTGTATATATGTATGACATGTTTATGTAGCAAAATGTTTTGTTGTTTTTTCTAAAATAAACTAACATTTATAGTTATCAGTAGTATTTAGAATTTCAAGAAATTAAACGTAGGCACAGAGAGTGGATCCTGAAAATATTGGAGACATTTCTTTAAGAAATAAAATTCTCAATTATGTCTGTATCATAGCAACCTATAGAACACAATCTGCTTACAAACATATGATCATTGAGTGCGACGACCGAGAACATCCTCACGGCCAGGGCAAGCTAGAGGTTATTTCCGGAAAGACGAGTTTCGGGGAATTGAGGAAACATTTGAAGCATCAGTAAGTTATTCCCACTATTCTGGGATATATGCATATATGCAGGTGGATGTGGATGTGTTTAGGAGACTCCCGCAGTACCTAGGATAACGGATCACATACCCTCCTGAGTAGAAGTTTCCGATGTCTGATATTCAGCAGCACTATTTTTCAGGTACGGCATCCATGGCATGCTATACTCCATTGCTGTGATAGACATTACAGAGATGAACACATAGTGTCCACCTGCTGTTGCAAATATGTATACTGATGTTATCGGACGAGTATCTGGTTCGAGGGCGTCGTTTGTCTGTTTTGATGTTTCCATAAGTAACGAATATAAATTTAAACATACGTGTGCCTGGCGACCTACATGATAAACAGCAGTTTCACTTTCCACATAACTTCCATAATTGTAGGCTATGTGACTTGTGGCTGAACTTACAAACATAAATATACAGTTGTATAGTGAGGTTTAAATCTGATTTCAAATGTTGTACAGCCGTCAAGTACATTCTGTGTATTATCATGGTGAAAACAAGTCCCGCCTTCATCTGTTTGGATTTAATCATCTTTCAGTCACTTTGAAATGCCCCGAACCGGATGCAATTGCAAACGGCAGGTAACAGTACAGCCTTTGTAAGCAAGTGCATTGTGGTTATCTATACTTCCCCCGGTAATATATGTTATCCGAAGCTGACATAGTTGGAGGTGCCCACAAAACGACTAAAACCTTGACCCCGACCTGCAGATCAGTCCCTCCTTTAAGGAAGTTCAACTGGTTGATTCAGTGTTTCGGTAAGCTGTTTAAAGGTTCTCTAGGGTATATGGTCAAACACGAATGACAACAAAGACATCCTTATCTGTTAAATCCATATCCTCCAGGGCCAGGTACAACACATAACTACTCATTCTCTTTTCGCAGCCTTCGAAAATCACCCTAGTCCTAGTAAAATTCCAATGATATTGGTTCATTAGAACAAGTTGTATTTGAGGGCTGATATTATGGACATATTTGCAGGAATTGTGGCAGAAAATGTAGTTATGTTGAAGTTGACATCGTCTTGGTCATGCAGAATTTGCTACACCTCTGTCGCGTGGAAGAAAGCAATACCATATGAAAAATAGATATACAGATTGCAAAATACCCTTTACATTTCAATTCTACATGTTGCTCCATTTTGTACATGCATGTAAAATCATGTAAAGTCCCTGCATGGTATCCTTTCCTAACTTTATTTCACACAGATCTCCTCTCGTCTTTGGTACTGATGTAAGTGGAAGGTTACTGTATCGGGGCCAAATACCCTTGATCATCGAAGATGTTTGACTTATTGTGTGTCATTGTATACCGACAGCTCATGCCTTCAGTCATGTATTTACCTGTCCAACACTGACAGTTGTAATACAGTTAGACTATTGTTCTCTTGTAGTTTATCGGCTCCCAAGGTGAATTTCAGTTTATACGCCGTACGAGCGGACTGACCGAGCAGGTGTTGATGCCTACTCAGACCATGTCAATAATGTTTATCTCGATCTAACCACTGCCTTTTGTGTACCTTGCAACTGAACCATTACGTATACTGAATAAAAAAGTTTAGGATCATGAGAATCAATATTAATTTTGGACTGAGCACGCTGTGTCATGTGTCATGATCATAAATATTCACGATCCCTGAACGTTTTTGTTCGGATCATATGTACGTGGGACGATTATGTTGATATAGATTCATCTAAAAAACAAAATGTGTTTGTCTCTGGACATGTACATTGAATAAGGTGATGTCCATTGTCTTGCTTATATAAATATTAGCCCGGCCATGCTCTTTCGTTTACGTTTGGCGTGACTGTTAAAAAACACATTTATGCATTGTTTCGTTATATCGACAATATGCGTGTATGTGTATGTACTGTTTCGTTATAAAGAAAACACACATGTCAAATGTATGCATTGTATAAAAAAGGTTGCTGAAAACAGTAACTGCATTTCATATAAAGTTGAAAAATACATGTTTTCGGAAAATAATTCTTAATCTTCTAATGCATATATATTCATGTAGACATTACCTCGTCTGTACGTGGAGATTCACTGTCAAGTGTATAAAGCATGGCGCAATCCAATCCCGTACTTTACCTGTCCACTGCCAAACCCAACGCCGTTCTGTACCTGTCCATTGTTAAATCCAACGCCGTTCTGTACGTGTCCATTGTTAAATCCAACGCCGTTCTGTACCTGTCCATTGTCAATCCCAACGCCGTTCTGTACCTGTCCATTGTCAATCCCAACGCCGTTCTGTACCTGTCCATTGTCAATCCCAACGCCGTTCTGTACCTGTCCATTGTTAAATCCAACGCCGTTCTGTACCTGTCCACTGTCAAACCCAACGCCGTTCTGTACCTGTCCATTGTCAATCCCAACGCCGTTCTGTACCCGTCCATTATCAAACCCAACGCCGTTCTGTACCCGTCCATTATCAAACGCAATGCCGTTCTGTACCCGTCCATTGTTAAATCTAACGCCGTTCTGTACCCGTCCATTGTTAAATCCAACGCCGTTCTGTACCTGTCCATTGTCAAATCTGACGCCGTTCTGTACCTGTCCATTGTTAAATCCAACGCCGTTCTGTACCTGTCCACTGTCAAACCCAACCTTTACTGTACCTGTCCATTGTCAAATCCAACGCCGTTCTGTACCTGTCCACTGTCAAACCCAACTCCGTTCTGTACCTGTCCATTGTTAAATCCAACGCCGTTCTGTACCTGTCCATTGTCAAATCCAACGCCATTCTGCATCTGTCCATTGTCAATCCCAACGCCGTTCTGTACCTGTCCATTGTCAAATCTAACGCCGTTCTGTACCCGTCCATTGTTAAATCCAACGCCGTTCTGTACCTGTCCATTGTCAATCCCAAAGCCGTTCTGTACCTGTCCATTGTTAAATCCAACGCCGTTCTGTATCTGTCCATTGTCAATCCCAACGCCGTTCTGTACCTGTCCATTGTCAAATCTAACGCCGTTCTGTACCCGTCCATTGGCAAATCTAACGCCGTTCCGTACCTGTCCACTACCAAACCCAACGCCGTTCTGTACCCGTCCATTGTCAAACCCAACGCCGTTCTGTACCCGTCCATTGTCAAATCCAACGCTGTTCTGTACCCGTCTACTACCAAATACAGCCCTTTACTTTACCCGTCCACTCAATCTCCTACCCAGAGTTCCACGCGGCCAGCCAGCATAGTACCTCTGCCACAGGCCAGAAATATGTGACGATTCGTCACATCTTGCATAGTCCATTCAATATAATGTACATATTTCTTAACTCTTTTATTTTTGACGAGCCTAAACATCTAATTAAACATCTTTGATAGAATGGTTTAGTTTCACTGAGATAATATCCTAAAACATGTAACACTATTTCGATTTGCGTAGCGATCCTTTGTTTACGTACGTTGTACGGCTCCACGTGCTGTCATCGAAGCCGACAGGGAGCAAACGATGCAACCAGATTGATATCTAAATATGTACTGTCATAAATGTTACTGTCGCAGTTGTGGAAGAAATATATGTAACAATGTAAAACATTGTAAAGAGCGCGCCGAAAAGCTTGCGTAAGGCCAGTCTCTCCTTATTATGACTATGCGCGTTTGTTTACAAACAAGAGAAAAGTCCGGTCACGTGATATGCAAATTAGCCTGTGGCAGTGATGTTATGCTAAGTCATCACTGCGCCGGAGTGTGCCGTCCACTGTCAAATTCAGATCTCGTACTGCACTCGTCCACAGTCAAACCCAACCTTTACTGTACCTGTCCTTTGTCAAATCCAACGCCCTTCTGTACCTGTCCACTGCCAAACCCAACGCCGTTCTGTACCCGTCCATTGTCAAACCCAACGCCGTTCTGTACCCGTCCATTGTCAAATCCAACGCTGTTCTGTACCCGTCTACTACCAAATACAGCCCTTTACCCGTCCACTGTCAAATTCAGATCTCGTACTGCACTCGTCCACAGTCAAACCCAACCTTTACTGTACCTGTCCATTGTCAAATCCAACGCCCTTCTGTACCTGTCCACTGCCAAACCCAACGCCGTTCTGTACCCGTCCATTGTCAAACGCAATGCTGTTCTGTACCCGTCTGCTACCAAATTCAGCCCTTTACTTTACCCGTCCACTGTCAAATTCAAATCTCGTACTGCACTTGTCCACAGTCAAACCAAATCCCTTATTGTGTACTACCTGTCCATTGTCAAACCCAATGCCGTTCTGTACAACAAACAAATACATTTTATGGAAAATCTTATAATCTCACGCCACACTAGCCGTCCTAGATCGCCCCAACTGTATGTATATGCCACGTAGGGTGTGCAGTCAACAACAGCACTATAATTGGGCAGAATGTTAGCCATTCACGCCGGTCACACCGGGAAGACGAAACTAAAAGTTTCATTCAAATGTTCTGCAAGATCCCGGAAAAACCAAATTGTTGACAAGTTAGTTGATAGCTGGTTCAAGTTGTGTTTTCCCTGCAGGGTTGAAGTGGACCTGTTCTTTCCTCGGCGTCGTCCCCTTGTACAGCTACGACATGGAAGACACAGACAAGGAGGGTGAGTTGCGGGTCTAGAGCCTCGGGATATTTTATTGCTACTCAGACTGAGACTCCCAATACCCATTACAACAAGTTCTCATCGGCTAGATCATGTCTTATAACGGGGTGTTAAGGGGGAATACGCCCTCGTTACGTCACGAGTCAACACTAGAATGGGGATAAAGATTGTATCATCTGTATGCGTGTGTGTCGTCATGCCTTTAAACATATCAGACTGGAGTATGTACACATTGGGGCATGGTATAGCAGCACTACTGCTCACCGCGGTGGAAAACAACATTCGCTTAAGATCTGATATGAGAGAGATATCTTGGTTGCAACAAACATCACACATCAATGTGTATGTGTATTAAATTCTGACTTCAAATTTAAATTGAAAACATATTGTAAAATCGATAACTATTGCTCCTCTGTGTTTAACTGACAATAACAGTTACATTAGCGTCTCGTACAAATGTCACATCCTACCCTTAATAAACTACTCAGCTTCATCCCGTCTTCATCTCCAGAGTTGTCTGTCATACAGACCCTGAAACAAACATATCCAAGAAAGCCCATGCAAGTCTAGATTATGCGGCAAGTCTAGATTTCCACAGTAAAGTCTCAGGGCTCCTTTTCATTATATTTTATGTGTGTTTTTCTATTATGAACTGTTTTTCTGTAAAATATGTTAATTTCAGAAACTAGTTGTTAGTCTATCTCTAGAGATGAAGGTCCAGTAGAGAGTTATTTTCAACATCCCTTATACTAAACCGCCATATAGCTGGACTATTTGCTGACTGCGGCGTTTAACAACACACCAAACCTATACTAAACAATCTGGGACCACACTCGTTACTACAAACCAAACCTATACTAAACAATCTGGGTCCACACTCGTCACTACGAACCAAACCTATACTAAACAATCTGGGACCACACTCGTTACTACAAACGTAGGATCGAGCGACGTGACTAGTCTACAGGAAAGTGACAACCATTCTATTCTCATTGGTTTACTAATTCTACTTGCGTTAAGTATTTCTTGTCATACTTCCTGGTTGGTATGGTATGTCAGTTACAACACCCACAGGAAGTAGTCCCAGCACCCTGACAATGCAGCTCTGCTCTAGATATGCATGTATGCAGCAGTATATGCAAGTGACTGCGCTTTGAAGGGATACTTACACGTTCAGGTAGGTCAGCTGTAAAAATGTCTAGGTTCTATCTTGAAATCAGTTTTCAGAATGTTCGGCTGCGTTCATTCATTCATGGAAATAACACATGTTACTCTGGATTACCTCTCGACGACGACATTGTTAAAATGAGACTTGTAGATACTGTTGAAAATAGACATTATCGGGTAAGCACTCCAGTGCCTGTGAGTAGCACATATCATGACACGTGACCGACCTATAGCTGATGTTATAGTAGCCATTTGCATCAACAAGAATACGTTTTCTTATGGTCGCATGTTGGAGTAGGATAATGTGTTTGTTTGATGGTTTACTAAGCAACGTTGCAGCTATATACAGACGATGTCTTAACAATCGAGCCTGCACCAGACCAACGAATTCCATCATGAGCATGAATGAACTCAGTGTACCGGGGGCGGCTGGGGTAGTCTAGTGGTAAAAGTGTTCGCTCGTCACGCCGAGGACCCGGGTTCGATTCCCCACAAGGGTACAATGTGTGATGCTAAAAGCGGCGTAAAACTAAACTCACTCACTACTCAGTGTACCATGACATGTATCAGCGATCCTTTACACGCTATCCCCTAAGTCTGTTTGTGACAAGCAATGTTGCCTACGGGTTGGTAGAGGTGTGAAGTTTAGTAAAGTCCATGCATGGGTAAAGGGTTGCGCCAGTTGACGTAACTTTCATTATCAGTTTGTTTGACTGACATACCCGTCATTTCATATCGGGCATGGTGGTTTAGGCATTCGCAGTGGGGCGATGGGGTAGGCTAGTAGTTGAAGTGTTGGCTCGTCGCGACGGAGTATCGGGTTCGTTTTCCCAAATGGACTGAAAGAGTGAAGCCCATTTCCGGTGGACTCTGTCAACAGGCATAAAAAAATGCTCAGGAATTATTTTCGGGGGAAGGAGGACACGCACGCACGCACGCACACACACACACACACACACACACACACACACACACACCTACCTCTGGGTCCGCCCTGGTTCGATCATTTCGTCTAATTGCATTGCATAGAAATACCTATTAGGTGAGTGTTGAAATATGTTCACGGCTCATATCACTAGTTTAACCACGCCCGTATAGACGTCACATGTATAGTCTACCTTTGAATCTGAAGCATCGTCACTCTTTATACACCGCGCAGTGTGAATGAAAAAGAATACTCTATATAATGTGTATATGGGTGGCACTAAACTGCAGTTGTTTATTCACGAATACGTTAACGCAGTGGTTGACAAGTAATGCACTTATTGGGGTTTTCACGTTGTCTACAATTATAGCATCTCAGGCTGTTGACTGACAGTTGGAAACAGGATGTACGTTTCGTTAATCTGGGACAGACAAATAAATCTCCGGGAAAAGGTAAGCCCCCTCGCCATCTTGACAAATTGCTCATCAGCTATTATACAATTATAGACTCTTGTAGAGGTCGATATCGGTTTTTATTGACCTGAGTAAAACAATATCGACCGAGCTTGCGAGGCCGATATTGTTTTTCTCAGGTCAATAAAAACCGATATCGACCTCTACAAGAATCTATTATTGTTTTATTATATAATGAAAGAGAAACGGGTTTTATTGGCAGAGTGATCTGATTGGCTGAAAAGCGGGGTAAGCCCCTTCGTACGGGATTCCTTGTCTATTTTTAGTAACCCAAGTCAATATCGTAATTTATCAGAAAACTCAAGTCAATATCGTGTTTTGTAGTCAATCATGTGACGGTATTTGACCAATAGTGGTACACGAAAAATACTACCTATATAACAAATTCTCATATACCTCAACTTGGGAATCCATTTTAGTAACGAATTTGAGTCAGCGGGTATGAACTCCTCCATCTCGAATTTTCTTTTTCAACTTAAGGCCACGCCCTAAGTATACGTTAGTGAGTACGACGAGTACGGGTATCCGGGGTACATGCCTACTTCATTACCTAATCGTTATTTGGTACTGATCTGAGCAATGCACATTGCATCGTACAGGGCAAGGAAGTTCATGTTGGAGAAGCCATCTTTCACATACGCCAGTTGCCGAGGAACGCATTGTCACACGTCGAGAGCGGATACGATATTTGTCAAGCGTATTACACAAGAACGTTTCATGTCAGCTTGACCCGTGTGGCCAGTCAGTTGCAGGGCCCCGTTCCTCAAAGCGATCGTAGCGCTAAAATGATCGTAACTCCCATACTTTAACATTGACTTACGACTGTCGTAGCGCTACGATCGCTTTGAGGAACAGGGCCCAGGACTTTACGCTTTGTAGACGTAGTTATAGAACTTCTCATGAACCCTCGGACACCAAACTACACTCGGCAAAGGGATGTATTCCGGCCATGTGCTTCTAAATGCAACGGTTATTACGTAACAATCGTCCGGTCACACTTGACCGCTGGCACGTGATCGACCACGGCCCAGCGAATGGATATGTTCTCCATTTATATGAAAGGGAATAACGTTTATCATCCAAAACTGTGTTCCACAGGAGATATTGTACTTGTGTGATATCAAACGATGTCTCCTAGGATATCTGCTATGACGTACTAAACTCGATGACGTCACAATGCTATGACATCGCTGTACTGCCGGTCTAATGGCAATACTATGTTCAGAGATGTATATTTTTCATTTAGAAGATAAAGCTACTCTGTTTTCAATTTTGCGGTCCTTTATCGTTGATTTAAGACCGCTAAATGTAATTTAAAAACCGAACGCGTAAATTGAAAACAGAGTAGCTTTATCTTCATTCTAGCACGATTGATAAGCGTTTTAAAACCGAACTGTTTGGCGCGCAAGAACACAAGACGCAAAGAGGCCTTTTCCCTGGAATTCGCTTCGAATCGTCCCGTTGAGGGACAGGTTGTGTAATGAACAAAATAAGACATTTTCAACAACATAAATGCTATATTTCAGGAACCAGTATGCTTGTATTTGTAACAAGTAGCATACATAAATAAACAAAAAATACAGTATATACTGTGAGCAAGTACAATTATTTGATTTTTTTCAAGCGAATTATTGATCTCCCATACTGTATGACAATCGACTCGCCCACATGCAAGCCGTGAACTCGCTAACTTTATTCACGGAAATAATTGTTGATAACCACTCTCCTATTCCCAATTTGGAAAAGACACACAAGTAGATCTGGACCCGCTTTGAATATACTGCCGCTTTTGCGCTGCTGACGGATTTTCCAGCTTCGTAGTTTCTTCACTGGGATTAGGGTCAAGAAATTCTTCTTCAAACCATTCGCTTTCTACTTCAAAAACACCAAAGATGCTGCCGAGATAGAAATTGCCGATGTCCGACATGTTTGTTTACAAACAAAAGGGTCAACGTGTTCGTTGTATTCATACGCGGTGAAATCGGTCACCTTCCTTAAACTGTCATGTAAGTACGGTTTTTGACTTACATAACATCACTGCCATGTACATTAGGGCAAATTTTTCATATCACGTGACCGGACTTTTCTCTTGTTTGTAATCAAACGCGCATATTCATAATAAGAAGAGACTGGACTCACGAAAGCTTTTCGGCGCTCTCTTCATAATGTTTTACATTGTTACATATATATTCTTTCCACAACTGCGACAGTAAGGCCTATGACAGTACATACTTAGATATCAAACTGGCTGCATCGTTTGCTCTCCACCAGCTTCGATGACAGCACGTGGAGCCGTACAACCTATAGCTATGTAAACAAAGGATCGCTACGCAAATCGAAATAGTGTTACATGTTTTAGGATATTTTCTCAGTGAAACTAAACCGTCCAGAATCGAATATCACAAATTGTCGTGCTAGAATGATAAATAGAATCTCACCCTCGTCTCCCGGCAAGCCTCTGATATTTGTGACTTTATCAACTCGTGTTGATAAAATTGATATTAATTGACACTTGGGTGAGATACTCTATTTATGCACATATATTCATACAAGCCATGTGGAGTATTTCACACGCCGAAGACCCGGGTTCGATTCTCCACATGGGTACAATGTGTGAAGCCCATACCTGGTGTCCCCCGCCGTGATATTGCTGGAATATTGCTAAATGCGGCGTAAAACTAAACTCACTCACTCACTGGAGTATTTCAAGATAGTTCGAATCCCATATTTCTAGGATTAACTGCACCATGCTTGCGGGTTCCACCAAGGTGGCAAAGAGCTTATATTTGAGTTACTTCGGGATATCCTCCCATCCCTTCCTGACCGTGTCACACCTGGATACTGTTCAACGTGACGTTAAACCCAACTCACTCACTTCTTCTGGATTGTCAGCTTCCTACGTGCGGTCAGCCACGAACAACACGTTCAACTTCCGGGATTGACCGTGCGGAACTGAGATGTAGAAAGTTTTCCCGTCAATATGCCGAATGACAACATGCCTCTAGCAGTGGAGACTGTGTTATTTAAAGGTCACATGCAACGTAAAACACAACTTTGCAGATTCTGATACCTTTCGGTATGGACATAGCGAAACAAATCGTCAAAAATGCAAATTCAACTTATAAAGTTGAAAAATAACGCAATGAAAAAAAACGCGCGAAATCGGAGTTCAAACGTTTCACTAATTTTCCCCAGACTTTTCTGGGGAATACGGGTTTCAACAGCTGGGCTGCGCTCATAGCACGTGCGCAAGTAAATAGGTTCGCGCAGCTTGGAAGCGGGTTGTCGGGTGAATACTCGGTGAAGGCTTTGGTGTGAGCTATTTTTCTAATGTTTTGTTGATATCTCACAGGCGCTAGCTTTTTATATGTTATGACAGTAAATAAACTGTTTATATAATTTCAATTGTCTATTTCACCACACGTTCTTCTTACCGCGTCACTTTCTCAGTTCGATACTTAAAAGCAATGTCATTATTTAGCGTTGACACAATTTCTAACTGTGATATAGATATGTCGTTGTCACAGACAAAACTCAATGTCTTGTTTTATTGACACCTGTGTGTCTGCCTGCCTGTCTGCTAATGACAATATTCAATACACAACTGCGATCACTGACCACATGCAATTTGAACTTAACACCAATCAGGCTATACACCATAAACAAAACGCATTGATTTATGGCCCGAGTTCGGTCTCTGTCACATTATGTAATTACACAGACAGGCAGGTGTGATACTTGAACACATGACATGTTATGATGTCTGTTGATTGCAAAATGTTATACACAAAAAATGAGCATGTATTTACAAAACCCAACATCTCTACACACACACCATGAGCCAGCCGTGAAGGCGGCATCTGCTAATGAACCAGCCGTTACACTTGAGTGCACACCCACCCGCTCTGACTGGGTTCGGTATCCCGGCTGCTTTGTTTCGAGGGAGGTAAACCCAAGTACACAATATTGCACTTTTGATTTGCGATTATACGCTTATAATTTTGTTTATTTGTTTTTTCATAATCAGCAATGCATATTATATGTCATGAAGAAGTGATAATTGTGTTTTAATTATGTTTGATTTTTTGGTTGCATGTGACCTTTAGTCTAACCCGCTCAGCCACCGCGGTTTCCAACAAAAGTACTAGAATCCGTATTTTACTGAGAAAGTGTAATCCCAAATGTAACATATGATGGAATATTGATAATATATGTTACATTTGACCACTATCTACAATGGTATTGTGTATTCAACAATTTTATAGAGAGCGAATGAGTGTGTGAACATTATCCAAGTGTTATCACGGCTTGTCAACCTGATGTGTGATAAACGCCAGAAGTGATGCAGGTCTTAAACGTTTATCACTTTGGCGAACCCAACAGCGCGGGTATAGGGCTGGAACCAAATCCATGACACGAGCGAACCGGGTTTCGAACCCACAGTCCTAGGTTCCTGGCGATACTGCACAGCTAACTGCTGCGTCTCAGACAACTGGTCCTCCCGTTCCACCAGTTGATGTGAATTTATTGCAATAATCATGGGGTATTTTACTTTCCCGAATGCAGACTTTCCCGCATTGAATTGGATCCGATATAGCCAGTTTGTGATACTTGAAGGTGACTGCATGTGGATACGTGACCTGCTTGGCGGAATACGCCAGTAACAAAATTACACCATTGTATAGTACGATTCCAATCGTTAATATATTTTACTTTTAACGTCACACAAAACCCAGTAGTTCTGAAAATGAATTCCACGAAAATGAATTTGAATACCCTCTCGCCTGTACGCGTAACTTATTACCTCCCCTTCCAGTTAAACTACCAACTTGTAAAAGGTCCTGTTTCCATTTATAAACGAAATCGCTAAAAACAACCTCTGTAACTTTTGAAACTACAAAAGGAATATTGATACACAACTTTGATATCCTTATATCAACACCCAACAACAAATAATTAATCGTAACAATATAAGATGCGCTAGCAAGTGTGATGCTACGATAAGACATTGGGTCTCTCGGGTTGTCAGCTCCAGACTTAGGGATAGGGGTAATGATCCCTGGGCCCAGTTGGAGGGTTCATGACCAGTCTCATAACATGTAGAAAACAGTTTATGAAGATAATCTATACAGATGTCATTTGTCAAAACATCAACTGGAATATTATCGGTGATTTCCCTCTCTTAGCTTGACTTAGTGTCATCAGTAAATAGTCAAAGTTTTCAACTCCTAAGAACTGAGGGATGAAATGAGACTCAACAGGAAAGTTTTAATTTCACACTTATCCAAACAGGGAATGTGTGTAATGGAACAACATAAAAATCAGTAATTTCATGAAATCCCTTGAAATTTTAGGGAATAATCCCTTGGGTCACAGCGATTTCACGAAATCTCTGACTCTTTCACTCTGATGTAACGATGCGACTGGCTAGGGGCATTATTTAGAATGAAACCAGTGTTCATATTCATCCCATATAACACCAGGAAGCTGCGTCAAGTGTATGGCCAGTTATAAACTAACATATTGAATCATAACATAAAATCCGATAGTATTTTCATAAACGTTCTTCTGAAAGTGTCCACAATGATATGCGGGAAATCGTCACATCCCCAATCAGTGTCTTTTTTTGTAATCAGCATCATGCGAGACAAAGTTTCCCATTTATTCTTGTCATCACGGAGATGTAAACTAGTTCGCCAGAGTCGCACTTAACTGCTGTGAAGTGGTTGGGTTTTTCCAAGCTGTATTGCGCAGTAATCATATCCGATGGCGACAAATAAAACTGGGCAAACCCGAACGGAACGTTGCCAGTCATAATAACTTGCCCTGTAATGGCAGCTGTCACAATCATGGACTCCAGTTCCAGAACTGTTCCAACAGTAGCAAGGAACAGAGAGTATGTGAATATCGGGTCACTTTCAAATTCACGTAATTCTGATGATAAAAATATTTTTTTCTTTTCTGAGGTTACTTAATTTCTTGAAAACGCATTTACGAATTGGATTTTACTCAGAGATGGGTTTATTTTAATAAATGACATTAACAAAAATATGTTTTCCGTTGCCAGGTGACGTGATGAGTGAAACATCAACCCGGGACAGTATGTCCAGTGTTTCGGATACAATTGGGGCCGTTCCAACGCCAGACAACATCAGCCTTTCCTCATGCGGCAGCAGCGGCCAGATGTCCTGCGACAACATCAGCAACATCACCAGCCCAGCTACGGACACCGACACTACGTTACTATCCGATAATGAAGGATTCGGTACACTCCGAAACATGTCAAAGACCGATGTGACCCCGAACATCGAAGACGTAAAGAAGCTCCTGACGTGCTCAGCCTGTAACGACACATTTTCTGAACCCAAGCTGTTGGTATGTCTTCATACCTTCTGTGAAAAGTGTATACAGACTTACAGGGAAGTTGACACGGACTTCGTCATCTGCGGCTACTGTCGCACATGTCAACCAAAACCTTGGAACGGGTCGAAGGGTTTGACGCCCAGCTACACACACGAGGACCTGCTTGAGATAACAAACAGACCGGAGAGCCAACCGTCTCTGTGTCAGGCATGCGAGAAAAACGATGACCCACAATTCCTCTGCACAACATGCAACGTGGTGATTTGCAAGCCTTGTCAAGTGGCACATGCGAACTTAAAAATCACCAAGAAGCATACCGTGTTGCCATTAAGCCTGGCCAATGAAACACCATTGTCCATCTATGCCGGCAAGAGACAGGTGATCTGCAAAGAGCATGATGAGCCTATAGCCTACCGCTGCGTCCCCTGCGGTCTGTTCCTGTGTCACACCGATTTGTCGCAGTTCCACGCTGATCACGAGATCGAAACAGTGGCTGAAGTGAGGCACAGAATGAAACGCAACGCAGCTGAACTAGAGCGGAAGGTAAAACAGAGTATATTGTCTTCCAAATCAGCAGAAACCTTAGCCCGCTGTCGAAAAGAAAGACTGAACGAGAAATTCGAAGCTATAGAGTCAAAAATTGATACAGTTGCCAACGAAACCGAACGATGTGTACGTCAAGCAGCAACGTCGATGAAGGCACAGTTGAGTCAACAAAGGGGACGAGAAGAGGTGAAGATTAAGGAGGTAATGGGGGAGGCTGAAGAAAGACTCCAGTCTTCTCAACATCTCCGTCGAATGCTGCTGTCGGTTACCAAGGAGTCCAATGATCTTGACGCCCTCACGTTCCTGTCGTACTGTGAACAGAGTTATGAAGACTTCCGGCAGAGAGGTTCTGGGCAGAAGACCTTTGACTCGGATATAGTTTTCTTGCCATCACCACGGCTTAGTCAAATACTCACCTCCTCAAACATTGGCGAGGTTCGAGAGATAGGGAACTATCCAGCCTTCAAAACACCACAGGTCCTAAGCTCGTTCAATGTTCTTGAAAACGTGTCGGGGCTGGCAGCAAATGTTTACGGAGAGGTGGTGTGCACGTCCTATCACGAAGGAAAGTGTGTTATGTACGACATGGCTGGAAGACTTATCCGTGATCTCAGCTCACAGGTGGTTAGACCTTGGGATGTTGCGTTCACAGATGACAACACATTCGTCATCACCGACTGCGGCGACAACATCGGTCACGGTTCAGTCAAGCTGTTCAGTCCGGCGGGAACTCTGATAAAGGTCATCGCTGCTAACGTCAAATCGCCAGCAGGGGTCACCACTGACCATTCTGGTCGCTTGTACGTTTGTGATGAACACGAGACGTGTGTTAAGATAATGTCCTTGGAAGGTAACACCATCGGTCAACTGAAGTCCTGGAACGAAACCTACCTCTTCCAAGGCCCCATCTTCGTTGCCACTAACGTCAACAACGACGTGATTGTCTGTGATGACCATCGTTCCATCGAGATCCTATCTCCCGTTGGTGAAAAGAAGGAAAGCTATGCGGTGGATGGTCGACACGATCTGCAGGCGATATGCACGGACAGCAGTGGTCAGATTCTTGTAGTGGACAATATAATGAACGGACTTCATGTTTTGACAGCTGGGGGTAGGTTAAGAAGGTTCGTCTCCTTCTCGGATATCACAGGTTTGGAAAACATCCGGTGTGTGTGTGTAGATCCATCGGGTCGTGTCCTCATTGGGGGCAGGTCGAAACTGGTTGTGCTGGACATGTTTGAAGAATGTTGATTCATTGGATTGGTTGCATACAATAACAAGAAACGTGTCAGACACCCGTTTATCGTACTCACATAAGTCTGTGTACCAGAATTCCGAACATCAAAGTGCTAAGAAAGCTTTATGGGTCTATGCTGTACCTGCAGAAAGATAGATCGTGGGATTTCAGTCCAAGCTAATGACCTTGAGTCGAAAGAATTGCAAGAGTTATATAATACTTTGTGGAAATTAAGCTAGCCATTTAACCAGTTCTATGTTTCACACAAATAACAATCTACAGGCGCGTAGCAAGCCAATTTTTTCGTGTAAGCCCAATAGGTTGCAAAGCTTTATATTTAGAACGTATTGAGGGCTTGCAAAAATCATGTGTAAGTCCGGGCTTTTATTTTTATAATGGTAGCTACGCCCCTGATCTAGATGTATTTATTATATATCTTGATGAGCGGGAAGTGTATGAAGACAGTGACAAGGGAGACAATATTGCATTAGTGGCGTGACTTCATATTATTCAACGCGCGATATGTTCCGTTACCATACACGCGGCTATTGTTGACGGACTGCATTCAACGTTTCGTCGAGCCATTAAAGATTAAACCAGCGTCATGTTCATGTCGAGTTGCGCTCAATGAAGACCAGCTTTGTGACTGATCATAATCGAACGAGTATTAAGGTTCTATGTAAACAGAGATTCGTTCAACTGAAAATGACGAAAATAGTCTTGCTAACAATAATTACACTACTCTATGACTCTAGAGCTCCTCTTCCAAGTGAAGTGATAATCTAAGACCGACTGCAACCTTCATGAACTTTCAGTTAGTCGTAACTGACCATGAACTTCTTCTAACTGAAAGCAGCAAAATTGGTAAAATCGATACACTATATAATTCAGGAAGTGTTAATACTTTTTTTTAAAAGTAACAGCAAGGATGCATTATGAACTGTTGTTTAGTTTGACGGTTTGTAATTTGTAATTAAAGCTTTAGCCCACGACGCATGTTCAAATGTTTATTCAAGTACTGAAATTGAAGCATCATCAAATGCACGGAACCCTCATTTCTAATATAACCGATTACACAAATATCTCGTAGAGTCAGGCACCAATAGGCCTGCAACAGCAGAGCCCTGTTTCCACAGTAATCTGTACTAGATCGTCAGCAACCCATGCATATAGTAGGGGTGGTCAGGTGGCCACATTCGCTGACTCATAGTCATCGTACAGGGGCGTAGGAACGGTGTGTGTGTGTGTGTGTGTTTCCAAGACGAAACTATATCTACCTTACCATAACTACAATTTCAATCTGAATTTCAATACTTTTCATAAATTGGCTATGATTACGCTGGAGAACACAAATATCTACAAATCCAGAGATCTGGTTCGAATCCCGGTTCACAATGACGATGTTTCAAGATCTGTCACTCCATCCCCGTGCTCGTGGGTTAAGCACAGTGGTGTACGTGGGAGAAAGAGCATCACTTCCAGCTGACATTTCGTGGAGTAACTGCATGGAATACTGTTAAAGGTGGCGTTAAGCCCAAGTTACAGACAGATACTGGGCAGAATCGCTGACTTGCTTCACACATGTCATCGCATCCCAATTGCGTAGATCGATGCTCATACTGTTGATCACTGGATTGTCTGGTCCTGACTCCATTATGTACAGACAGCCGCCATATAGCTGGAATATTGCTAAGTGTGGCGTAAAACTAAACTCACTCACCCAATCAATGATACTGGGAATCCCAAATTCATTACAATGCTTCACGTATTCTCAAACTACTGTTATTGAATTCCGTTTTGACCATTAGATTTGTCCATGTAAATAAACCTCTGGTGTTTCGCCAAATTAGAACACAGGTATCATGTCATGGTAATGGTAAACATTATCTCAACTCAGCTCAAAGTTTAACCTCTGAGTCTCTTTAAAACTGAACAAGTACAAACAGGAAGAAAGCTGTCATGTCCCAAGTGTTTGCAGTCGGCTAATGTCCAACATACAGTTACCTGCTCCTCACAGAACATAGCTTCGAACACCCAGATACACCGACAGAATAGCGATTTTCCAAGCAAGGCTATGTCACCAGGAAGTACTCCCTATCTATGCCCATATTAATAAGTCAATAATTCTTTACATGCAGTATCAGACGGGTGCCCTACAAAAGTGTTTTATCCTTCTCATAGATAACTATTAATGACATGACGGCCATTGACTGTGGAGATTTACTAGCCCGACTGGTTTTTACTAGCAACGGGCTAGCGGGCCAGAGGCTATTTCGCACGCTGGGTATATTTACCTGACCCGTATTACACCCCTTTCTGGCTGATATGACTTGTCAGCCTGTGGTAAGAAATTAGAGTTACGTGGGTTTAATTATTCGTCTGCTTGTCTCCCAGCCTGGCAATGTATTGTGTATCTTGACACAAGGTGACAATGTATTTCATCCAGTTGGAAAAGTTACCTTTTCACAACATATGAGAACCACTTTATACTGCAGCACATTAAACGATCAGTAGTTTTGTAAAAACAAACAGAGCACTAATACACTAAGCCCAAGAAATATATGTCTTTGCAGCAAATGACTAACTTCGTCAATTTCCTGAATTGAAATCGCAAATTTTCGACTCTATGTTAAAAAATATAATTATTGATTTGTAGAGATAACTTGTTTTTCAATGATAAGCTAATAAACTTGAAGAGGTCTTAATGCTCAGTTGTATATTAACAGTTATTGCATTGGATACACTCTCAGCATATAATTTTTCAAAAGCCTCAGAATGTTTTTTTACAAAGTTCCAATATTTTAAATAAAGTTCCCTCCCTATTTTTGGCTGTTGGGGGCACCTAGTTCACTATCTGGGATAAATCTCTGCAAACTTAAAATAATATTTATAACCCCATAGGGAATCTGGTTTAGGACAAGTCTCCAGCCACGAATGCTGCTATCACTGGATTATCTGGTTCAGACAGGAATATTTATCAAAACTTGCCACACACCTGGAATACTGCTGATTGCAATCACATCAAATACATTACCTGTACACAGTGGTTATACTCCCTTGATGGTGCCTTACATCATATACATGTGTCATAACAAATCCAGGACTGTAACAGATTTTCTAAAAGTAGCTTACTGTATTTAGGGACCGTTCATAATTTATGGCTTGGGATGGGGTGGGGTGGGGTGGGTTAAACATGATTTTAAGGGGGTCACCCATTTTGTTCTGTGGAGCTAGGGGGTCAGCAATTTTGTACACACGTACTAGGGGGTCAGCAATTTTGAACATATAAATATTTTTCAAAATTATGGTTAGAAAGTATGGGAAGGTGAGGGGGTCATTGATTTTGTACATGACATGCAGGGGGGTCACTTATTTTGTACATACATTTTAGGGGGGGTTGGGGGTGTGTCATTCACATTGTACATGCTTCTCCAGAAAAATCATCATCACACACACACACACACACACACACACACCCTAGCCATAAATTATGAACGGTCCCTTACACACTCTAAGCAATTATTTTTAAATTGACCATTCGTTCAGAGGTGTACCAAAAATGATAAATGAGTTAGCAGTGGTGAAAAACATATATAGGAGTCTTTATGAAAAATACCTCAAAGTCAAGAGTTTCGGTTTATGGTAATCCTGAAAATGAACAGAGCGTTTGATTGTGCTTAATAAATAGTTTATAGGATAAACCTGGATACATTGTTCTGAACACTGTCAATATAGATGTGTGCCACATACTGAAGTGACTGGAATATCAAAGGTGTATCATGATACCACATACATGGATGAATACACTATGTCTGTCAAAATAACCCGTGAAGATCCGGGTTAGAAATGACCTTCATGCTTGTCGTAAGAGGCCACTAACGGGATTGGGTGGTCAGGCTCGTTGACTTGGTTGACACATGTCATCGTATCCCAATTACGTAGATTGATGCTCATGCTGCTGATCACTGGATTGTCTGGTCCCAACTCGATTATCTACAAACTGCTGAGTGTGGTGTAAACTAACTCACACACTGTCAACATGGATGTGTGTACACAAACTGACGTGGCTGTGACTCAACCACAGGACAATGGGGACAGGTGTTTCTTGTCTGAACAGACAGTTGTCAATCTTCCAGGGGATGGAGACCTACACAAACATAACTAAAACATCTAGAAGAATCATACTGATAACAAAAAGACAAAAACGACTTCCCAGAAAGCCTTGTCGAATGATACTCCAAATCCTGTTTGAAAAAAAACATATGTATTTATTTCCCTGTTTCAGATACAACAGACTTCATAAACATCATATGTGCTCTTGTGCAAATATCACTTCATGTGGATTAGTGTAGACAGCATTGTTCATGTAATTCAAAACCTATCCTGACATAAGGTTGGATTCATTGTCACACTGAGGATTGGTTACACTACTGACGATTGTGTTTTTCTCAGATAGTGGCTGTGATCGCTGCAGTTTCTAAATGGGAGCTCAAAAGGTTTATAACTATTAGGTAGATTTGTAAATATCAAAACTACGTGTCATACTGATTTATTAATCTTTTATAAATTAATGTATGCATCATACAACCTTGGAAAATACATACATTCTGATACTTGATGAAATATTATAAAATCAGTATAAGAAACATGTTCATATAATAATCTCTATTTGTTATTAATAACCAAAACTATTACAATAATTTCACACAAGTGTACTTCATTAGTATTAAAATACTGACCATTAATATCAGCAGTTTAACAAATTTCTATGATGATAGAAAAATATTCTTGTTGAGACTCGAAAAAAGGCATATTTTGGAAACTCAAGTTACATCCTTGAGAGCATCTTGTATTTCCCTATCGGTGGGGTAGATGACGTAGTCTATGTTGTGGTCTGCTTCAGTAGTTGGGATATCTGCACAGATCTGTTCTCGGAAGGCCAGGGCAACTGTGACAGGTTTTTTACCTCTCTCCTCACACTGATGTAGGTAGTTGTCATAGTAACCCTTGCCATGCCCGCACCGAACTCCTTGAGGGGTGAAGGCAACACCCGGGGTCAAAATTACATCCAATCCACCTGCAAAGGACAAGAGTTTGTATCTGTCATTAGAGGTGGGGTGGTGAGTGTGGCTGGTTGGTTGGTTGGTATCATTGGAGACAGGGGCATTTTATTGAGTCAATGTAGTAGGGAGTGTGAGCTGACAGGTACAGGTAGGTACAGGTAGGTGGCTGGTTGGTTGAGTGAGTTTACAGGTATCTGGGTGCTTATATATTTTGTGAATGTGTGAGTGTGTGCGTGTGTGTGTGCGGTATTGAGTGAGCAAGTGAAGTAGTGAGAGAGTGAGTAGACAAGTATTTGGGTGGTTGGTTAAGTGAGTTGACACTTAACTGGGTGTTTATATGTTTGGGGAATGTGTGAGTGTGTGTGCGATTTTTAATGTGGGTGAGTAAATGGGCAAGTGCTCACTTAGGCTACTAAACAGAACAGAATTCAAGAAACCCACGCTAGTCCCAAGAGCTTGCTTCCATCAGTGTCAGGTAGTGACAATGTGTGATGCAAATAATGATTGTGTATTCTCACCTGGCAAGTCATTGCCAGAACTATGAACCCCAGCTCTTCCTCATGAGAAGCGATCTTTTGAGGTCGCCTTGATACTGACATAGATCTGATTGTGTATTCTCACATGGCTGGTAGATTGCCAGAACTATGAACCACTTCATCTGCCTTCTAAGGAGCAATATTTTCCAGGTTGCCTTGACACAGGAGGAATATTGTTTATTGGCATCGATCATCACCTCACTCACCCCACCATTTTTAATACAGATCTGCACCATACCTGTGTCCAGAGCGTCTTCTCGCTGTTCATCAACTGGGGGCTGTTTAATCTTCCATTTTGTCTCCGGAAGGTCTTGATAGTCCTGCCATGACGCCAGTCGCACCATGGACATCCCCACGCCATCGTAACGTGGGATGAAGCACGCCTTGTTGGCGTTGAGGATGTGCTGTACAAGTGCATCTGTACTAACCTCACTCTTCATGCTCAGGTACACTGACACTCGCCTGCTGGTCTGGAAGACTGGCAATGCAAGCACCTGCCGAAAAGGTGAGGAGGTAAACAGAGGTTCAAGTCCTTCAAGAACAAATAAACTTTGTTTTTTTTACTCTTTTAACCATTACATATGAAAGATTTGTGGTCAGTCTTATGCGGAACACCAATTTCATTCTTTAAAAACTTGTGGTTAATTAGTACCGAGCGATTAAAAGTTGCCAAAAAGTCGCCAGCTTCACTCTCGCCCGCCAACGAAACCACAGACAGGTTACGTAACTCTGTGTCTAGAGCACTGCAGTGACGTCATATGAGGAAGGATTTTCAGTTATGGTTTGGCATGAAATGCATGTGGACTCGGTTTTTTGTAAATATCTCTTCATCCAATGACCCAATCGATCTCAAACTGTGCAAGTGGAGGTTTTGTCAGACAACCTAATCACATTGTAAATCACCGATTTTATGCATTTGTATTAAAGAATCTGTCTATGTAACTGTCAACAAAATAAACAGCAGAACGCAGAATGCTTGCAGAGGGAGGGAGCCAATGACCTGTAACAGCGGCAGTGTTGGGTCATAAAGGTCAATGCACGTGCAGTTCATGATAGTTACCTGTGCACTGCACAGTGACAGACCGTTTGGATCATTCACATTTACTACTTCTAGCTGTCATCATGAAAGCCTATTCAGATGATGATAAACGTTTAATTAGAAATGTGTTGAATTTTTTAATAAAAGAGAGCAAAAAAAGAGAGCAAACGTAGCAAACCGATTTATAAGGTGTCGGATTACATGAACCTGTTACAGGTTATTGGCTCCCTCCCTCTGCAAGCATTCTGCGTTCTGTTGTTTATTTTGTTGACAGTGACATAGACAGATTCTTTAATACAAATGCATAAAATCGGTGATTTACAATGTGATTAGGTTGTCTGACAAAACCTCCACTTGCACAGTTTGAGATCGATTGGGTCATTGGATGAAGAGATATTTACAAAAAACCGGGTCCACATGCATTTCATGCCAAACTATAGTTGTATAGAAAGTGTGTAGCAAGCTCGTCATTTTGATGATTTCTCGACATCAACGAAGACATGCCAAATCGTTGCGTTGTCGTCAATTGCTCCTAGATGTCGGGCGATGGTGTCGCCATGCACAGATTTCCACAGGACCCCGCAGTTCGTGCAAAATGGGTTATGTTTGTGAGTGCGAAGCGAGCGTTGTGGAAGCCTGAAACGATATCTTACTTGTGTTCAGATCGCTTCACGGAAGTTAAAGAATCAAAACTACTTACTAGTCGTAGTAAAATATATATATGATTGATGACCATAAAGATTTTCCATGACACAACTTGTAACATAACGATTTCTGCCTCAGAAGCGAGGTTGTGGTCGAAGTAACAGTAATACTGTAAGTAGTATTATATTGACACCCACCTCGCTTCCACGAGAGAAGTTGTTATGTTATACGCTATGTCATGCAAAGTCCTATTGGCCATCAATCAAATACATATTTTACTACCAGTAGAAAGTAGTTTTGATTTTGTAACTCGGTGAAAACAAACCTAAATAGCATTTATACTCAGACTGGCGGATGTTCTCGACAGGGCGCCGCCATTTTTGAAAATCGTGAAGTCACGGGCTAAAGTCTGTTAGAATTCATGAGATTATGGTTTGTTTTCATCAAGTTCGAAAATCAAAACTACTTTCTACTCGTAGTTAAATATGTATTTGAATCATAACCAAAAGCATTTTGCATGACACAACTTATAACATAACGATTTCTTCCACGGAAGCGAGGTGGGGGGTCGAAGTGACAATACTGCGCGATAAATTTCTTGCTACATTCACGTGGTTAACGTCCACTCACCAGTATGTAGATACTAGTCCATGTACGTCTTTATATTTGGTCTTATAATCGTAATTAGTTTATTATCATACTTGTATGCATTTTGAAACTAAATAAAAAGCAGACGATCTGCTGATACTTATAGTGCATTTATAACAGGACTGTAATATCTAGACAGTTTATAGTTTGCCAATGTGAATCATAATTCGCACACACGCCCTAGTGTATGTCTCATTACACTTCACGGCGAAAACAACGATTCTGTTGAATGCTACGACAAATGAATAAAAAAACAAAATGCAAATATTAAAATTAAAACAGATTAAATTTATAGGAACAATGTCAGGCCATTACCTTGTTCGAGGAATGTATCCATCAATATCCACAAAAAACGAGTGATATGCCATTCATCTGCAGCTGTTCCAAGTAATGTGTCTTTTAACAGTCTAGTATACGAAAAAGTGATATATCGTTTCAGGTATGTCACATTGGTCACCCAGGATAGCACACCTGGCAACTGACTGCATAATGTCCGCCATTCTTTAAAAATGGTAATTTAGTTTGTCAATAATGAGCAATCAATCACTGTATTGGCGGTTAATCCTTTGAAAGAAGGACGTTGTTTTTACGCAGACACAGACACGAAAGAGTGTATTCAGTATAGATTAGTAAATCTACATACATAAACACTACATTTTGACAAATCCGCTGTGTAAGACAATAGTAATTAATCAATCAGCGTGTTATCGGTTAATCCTTTGATCGATGTTTATAATGTTGAATATTTACTCCAGACAAAAGAAATGCCAAATGGGAACCTTTGTCGGGTAATCTAAGTGGTGTTACCACTAATTATACCTGTTATAAATTCATTAACTGGCCATCAAGTGAATGATGACAAATAACATGTGTACGTTTATACCTCCTAACACGGGTTACCTTGAAAGTTATCTATTACACCTCCCATTAAATGTACGCATTTGGCTTACCTATATTATAACTTGTAACCATAAACTTTCAGTAGAAACAGGTAGATGGTATAATATTATTAAAGAAGAAAGATTATGTACATTGTGTAAGAACACAATAGGAGATGAACTTCACTTCATGTTATATTGTCCATGTTTAAGTAATGTAAGAAATTCATTCCTGCCTAACTATTATTGTAATTATCCATCATTAGATAAATTTATATCCCTCATGTCTTGTACGCATAAAGCACTATTGTTAAAAATAAGCAACTATGTGAAAACCGGACGACGTATGCTCCCATGAAACAAATCTGTACATTTGTATTTTTCTCTGTCACTATCGCGTGATCTTCATGAGAATAAACCATTCATTCGTTACAACGAGGAAGTACAATTACTGTATTGTGGGAACTTATGGGCCGAAACTGTTTTGAGAATACAAACAGAACTTCATTGTTGCATAAGAAATACATATAAGCATTTGCTGTGTGCTAAAACTCTATGTACCTAGTTACAATGTACCTAAGTAAAATTTCAGATTCTTCTAGCAATGGCAAAATAGGGTTGTTTAGTTTACCGATTCAAATAAATCAAATGTCAATTTTTAATATCATACGTAATAGACGTCATAGTTTTACATGACATGATTAAATATCGAGGTAAAAAAGCACAGAAATGGGATCAATTTGGATCAGTCATTATACAAATAAGGCCTAACGACACCAAGCGATTTTGACAGAATCGTCTATGAAAACAAGTTGTAACTCGGAAACTTGGCAAAGCAGGAGACAAAATTATATGACAGTAGATTGTGAGAAAATATAGCTTTCATTTTCCACAACAGTTGTCACGATTTCAGGTTTATACAAACCTGTAAACAAGATAATTTACCCCCTGAAATGTAGATGAATTCTGCATCAGCCCTCATATCTATTCCTCATATGACGTCACAGAGACGGGATACGGTGATTTCGTAGACTGAACCAGTTCGTAGACGCGGTGGATTCGTAACCCAGACTGGTTCGTAGACGGTGATTTCGTAGACGTGTATTAATAATTGAATAATAGTATATATTAGTTAGACTGGTTCGTAGACGGTGATTTGTTGTGAATGTTAATTAGGAAGTGGTGAGTTGTTTTGATTGCGAAATACTCTGTGTAGGAGATGTGTTTTCTTAAGAAGTGTTTTCTGCTCTTGAAATTATTCTACCAAACATTCATCAATAGTATTTCAACTTTCTGCTTTCACGCATGGTATGGCAATCTTCCTCTTATATCCAGCAAAATTCTCTTTTGAACCTCTTCCTTTTCAAGGGGCGGTGGGGTAGCCTAGTGGTTAAAGCGTTGGCTCGTCACGCCGAAGGCCCGGGTTCGATTCCCCACATGGGCACAATGTGTTAAGCCCATTTCTGGTGTCCCCCGCCGTGATATTGCTGGAATATTGCTAAAAGCGGCGTAAAACTACACTCAGTCAGTCAGTCTTCCTTTTCAAGAGTCAAGAGTTAAAAGAAAGCTCTGGCCATTCAATCGGATCCATCACATTTTTAAAATGAATGTTATGAATTTCTGCATACTGGCCGTCCTTTCAAATTCATGTACTACAAAACTAGTAGAACTTCAAAACCATTTGTCCCATACAGCATAAAACTTCTAAATCTTCCTCCAAATTGAAATACTGAAATCAATGATGTGGCACGAGTGATTATTATATTATGTACTTTGATTATAATTGATCCTTATATTGTGATCAGCTTGACGTGTGTGTGTGCGTGCGTGCGTGCGTGTGTGTACGTGTACATGTACATGTACCTTAAATAATTTGTTGTTATATGCATTGCATTGGCTGTTTGAATGCTAGACAATCAATTTTGTGTTATCTTATCTCTCTCAGGCGTGTGGTTGTTTAGGTTTGTGTGTGTGAAGCAAATCGCACTATTCAAGACAAATGCCCACCTTACAGTTCTATCAAAATGAGATACCATAACGTGAATATTGGCTCACAGATGATCAGTACATTGAAATCCCTTAACGCCAAGTGCAGGGCAGGGTAACAACAAGTTACATATTTTAGCATCGTTTGTTCATTCATGGACAGATTCTCGGTTACGTTTTTAGTTTCAACTTGGGAATGAACAGTAACACAACCAATTTGAAGACTAACAAACAAAAGTCTATTCTGTATACAATCATTTTACAGTATATATATTATAATATTACATAACAAGCTCAACCTAGCATTTCCGAAACTGGGGGGCGTCGGGATAGCCTTGTGGTTGAAGCGTTCGCTCGTCACGCCATAGACCCGGGTTCGATTCCCTACATGGTCACTATGTGTGAAGCCAATGTCTGGTGTCCCCTGCCGCGATATTGCTGGAATATGGCTAAAAGCGGCGTAAAACCATGCTCATTCACTCACTCCGAAACTGAATATAGTTGAAGCACTCGTAAAATAATCTCTTGTTGGCTTTCTGTGGTCAAGGGGAGTTAATTCGTATATCCCACGTGAACACAAACACAATTCGACCTGACAAAAGGATGTCGTGTTGCTCAGCACGTTAATCAGAAACAAGAATGCGGTACATGATTTACCTTCCTTGTGACAATCTGCGACTGGATAGCCTTGATGCGATCTGGTATAGCTGACAATTTTGTCTTCATGTCTTTTCTCAGTAAAACTTTGGCTTGTCGTATGGAGACCGCCATCGTGTCCCCAAGGCGAGGGGAGGTAACTCTGTAATTAAAGACTTATTCCCAGAACTCTTGTTTTAAAATACACAGCCATGCAGGCTCCACATTCACGGATATAATGAGTGTGAAACTGACACATTGTTTTTTCATGAAAAGTGTAATCATAGGTAGACGAATAGCTATCAAATCTGAGCTAACAGACAATCATTGCGTTGTTTGAATGGCTTGGTCAAGTTGGTGTACTATTAAATGTCTAGATGTCTTCAGGGATTCAGGTAAATTTGTAAAAGATGGATGCACATGCCATCTAAAATATACTGCAACGACGGCATGTGAAATGATGAAAGTCCTAATTGATAGCATCGATTGAATGTTTGGAGTGAAAAATTTAGGTAAGACATATACATCTGCATGGGCGATACGGCTTTTGGTCCGAGGCTGCTTATCAAGCTTACGAAATTGAAGTTGACGTTTCTACGCTAGTTATGGTTGGCATATGGAGGACATTCAAATAACTGACGCATCAGTTACTATGTAATATCAGATTCAATTCCCGTTTTGAACTTGTACCTTATCTTCCCATGTTTTTTCGGGTGCACAATTTACTTGCCTTTGCATGTGTTTTTGACGGGTCGCGCTGGTGGAATATATGATGCAGTTGAAATCGCACACTCGGCTTTGCTTTTGACAAATACGTTATGTGCTTCTATTGATTCCTGGCACATTTACGCAATATTTATGCATATTCATTCAGTTTGTGTGAGCGAATCCTTCTGTCTTTGCGGTATGGCTAAATGTTGGCAACAAGAAACCAATTGTTGATTCATTTATGCTAAACGAACATCGTAAGTAATGCAGTAGTTGTCAGAGAGTTCAAAGCGGTGTTTAGCCTTGCTCACTCACTCACGCACCAGATGACGCCGTTTCACTTCGTATCGTTTCTTGTAAAAGGAGACAGTTTAACGCCCGAAGACGTTTACTTAATGTATTCCAAACCTTAATCCTCCAGTATAGCACCATCTGTTACAGCGATGGAAACAAGTAGGACTTTTGAAAATATAACTAAGTATTGTTTTGTGTTCATTACTACAAGGGAATTCTAATACAATTCGTATTATCACATTTTTATTAATCGAATAGCAATAATAAACATGGCAAATATATCAAATCACGTGTAATATGTCCAAACACACTTATTGGCGTTTTAGTATTAAAATAGTAGTGGTACTGCAGCATATTAAATTTACAGAGATCTTCCAAGTTCAGTTGTAAAATAAAACAAACAATGTTTTGATGTTTGTCCTCTCAGCGTTGTTTTTTATATTATTTCGATCTAATTATTTTCCAGCGAATTTCATGTAAAACCTGATCATATACTGGACAAAATAAGTTAGGGATATTGGTATTTTTATGATTGATATTTTATCAGTGTGTCAATTAATAAATAGATCATTATTCATAATTTCAAAATTTGCATATATCCCTAACTATTTTTGTCCAGTATATGAATGTAATAACTGGTAAGTAGGCTTAAAGCATTCCGAGTAGATCTCGAAGTTCGCCCATAAGTACAACCTTAGGTTTAAGGGGCAAATGTCCAGTTTCTTCTTCTGACCTCATTTCTCGGAAATTTTCAGCTGAAACAAATGTCACACATATTCGCCATAAAAAGTCATGTATTAAGAAACCAGCCAAGCAGAGAGACCGACGTGTTTCTCTAACACTTAATATGCTGGCCATGTCGCCCAACGGTCGTAAATACCGACAGAATAAATTTGTACAACAGACCACACACAACAATTTCACAACAAAATATTCTTTAAAAAGTTGTTTTGTCCCAAAAAAAATACAAGCTGAAAGAAGTTGCTGGTTTTATTAATCAGGTTTTGGGTAATTTTTATGCGATGTTATGTTGTGTCAGTCAAAGTAAAGCTTTTCTGTATTCCCTTCTTTTAAAAAATGTTCATGTCATGCAAATTTGGTGTGATCGTATTTTTAATTTGCATTTATGTCAGAGCAGTGATACTGAGGAATTCACGTCAACATGCTACAGAGGTTAGTACATGCAAAGAATCATGCAACTAATCTCAGTTGACGTAAGTGCACGTGTTGAAATATTATAAGCACATTGCATTCTGATGGGAAAACGTCGTAATACGTAATATTCATTCCACACGCATATGGAAATGTGAGTACGTGCGCGTGAATATTTTGTAAATGAAAACAGATCAACAAAAAGTATTGCACACGTCACAGATTACATTACAGTGCAGAAATGTCAGACCAGTATAAACAAACCAGGCTTTAAGTTATGTGCCGTTGTAGTACTTTCTTGAGCTAGACGCACATGTTCAATTGTTACCGACAAGGTTATCAGTGAGATTTTACACAGTGGCACAATTGATTCCCTGCAACCTATACTTGATGTAAAACGAAGAGATTGAAAGAGTCGGGTGGCCCAACTGTCTTAGACATTACCAGAAACCTATGATACTGGGTTTGAATCCCATATTCGCAAAACGAAGTTAAAACAAACTCACACCTTCAAGCTGTACCAGGACGGCCTGAATACATAGAGTCTTGGCCTGTCAAACCGGCCACCAACACAATCGGGATATGAAATCCCCTGTTTGTCTGTTCTAGTTACAAACAAAGTAGTCTAGAGGTAATGTGCCTTATGGCCGTGTCAGGATCACTGGTTCGAATCCTACCTTCGTCCCGATCACGATCTTTACCAACACAATCGGGATATGAAATCCCCTGTTTGTCTGTTCTAGTTACAAACAAAGTAGTCTAGAGGTAATGTGCCTTATGGCCGTGTCAGAATCACTGGTTCGAATCCTACCTTCGTCCCGATCACGATCTTTAGTCCCATAATTAGTCATTTAGTTTCCACCGTCAATGGCATCACAAAGGTACACGTCTACGACCTACATCCCCGTGAGTTTCCTTATCCAATACCAAATGGGGATATAACTGAAATACTGGCACGTAAACGTTGTGAAACCCAAATCACTCACACCAGCGATGAAATAACGTTCACAACTAGATGACGGAATGCGTGTAAGTATATGTCTTAACCTCATTCATGATTACAACGACTGGTCATGTAAATATTGTGGTATTTAGGACTTTATATTCAGGTCAGGAAGGCACAGTCTGTCAAATCAGAGGTATATTACAAAAACGAAGTGGTGCGAGGTCAACGACCTTATACATGGTTACGCCTCCGTTTTTGAGTCGATAAAGCGTAGAGCCGAATGTCTTAACAAGACTGACTGAGTTTGGTTTTACGCCGCTTTTAGTAATATTCCAGCAACATCACGGCAGGGGACACCAGAAATGGGCTTCACACATTGTACCCATGAAGGGATTCGAACCCGGGTCTATGGCGTGACGAGCCAATGCTTTAACCACTAGGCTACCCCAGTCTTAACAAGAGACGTCAAAAGATGAAGCTTGTTACCACGCTTGGTATTGAGTGGATAAAACAAAGACTGGCTGGGTCGGAGTCGTATAGTATTTCTGAGTAGGGTTTCCATGCGGCATAGTCTGGTGCGGTAGCCTAGTGGTTAAAGCGTTCGCTCGTCCAGCCGAAGACCCGGTTCGATTCCTCACATAGGTACAATGTGTGAAGCCCATTTCTGGATCCTACGCAGTGATATTGCTAAAAACGACGTAAATTCATTCACGCACCCATGCGGCATGGAACGTCGGGGTGTAGCACTGAAATACCGGCATGAGTCAATGTGAAAATGTGTTGTCAGTTCAATTCCTTATTTGCATGAAATGCCATAGGCCCATATACAGAGGAGTTACATCGTACCATTAACATACATACTATCCCAAAAAAGAAACGCATGGGCGTTTTGAATTTTAAAATCTACTAATTACCTATTGTGTTCAAACAATCGTCAAAATATGTAACAAAAGTGTTGATAACATGAATTTACACAATTACACAAGTGAAAAGCCGACTTTGCCTGAAAATGTTGATTTTGATGAAATTTCTTACAAGAATTAAAAAAGCATCACCACAACGCAACAGAAATCACCTTCCAGTTGAAATTGTGCAGCGAAGAGCATGCACTGTCTGGCTATAAAAATCCAGATTACTTTCGGAAATCGGCATCCGTTTTGAAGGAGCTTCAAGGTCAAATCACTACGCTAAGTCTTGACGCTGCGACACGGAACATCACCATTGAACGAATGCACGCTGGAGATTACCAACTTTCTGTTGCCAGGCGTCTGAATGTTAGTCTGAGCAGGATATCACTGCGTGCAGCTCGTTACAACCAAACAGGTATAACAAATGACCGTCCCCGTACAGGCAGACCTCGAGTCACCACTGCAGCCCAAGATCCGTACATCCGGGTACTACATTTCCGTGATCGTGAGAGCACAGCAGCCAGAGTGCGGCCTGGACTGCGGAGGATATCCGGTGAAACTGTAGGGAACAGGTTGAGAGAGATTGGACTGAGAGACAGGAGACCCGACGTCAGGACCATGCTACGTGGTCACCATCGCGCTCAACGTCTCCGTTATCTAAAATTATCCACTTGGTTGTGTAGACATTACCTTCTTCTAAACTGATGTAAAAAATCATTTTTAAAGTCTATTTGTGTTGAAAATACAACAGATTTCTGGGTTATGCGTTTCTTTTTTGGAATAGTATATATACCATTATCCAATATAGGGCCTCAAATCATTTCTTAACAATAATGTATGTTGGATAAATAGTGCTACTCGGTGTTGAAGGTTCTTTACCGGACATTAAGGAAGAGAGTATTTTACCATTGGCTGCTATTGTCACAGATACCAGTTTTGTAGGTTGCCATATGTTGGGCAAAATAACCATATACTCCATAACGTAACACATTTTTCAAGAGCTAATGTTTTCCTCGATTAATTTACTTAATCCGTAAGGCCTTGTTTAAAACGTACACAATCATTACGAACATTCCAGTAGCGTAAGTTAGCTGAGTAAGATCTAGGTTCAAGCAGCGATATAAACTGACGATAGGAATCATGTCTTGA